CTTGGAAGTATTTCAGAAAACAAAAATAGATGAAGCAGACATGGCAATACACTCACAATTGTTAAATCTAGGGGGTGGGGAGTCCCTCTACCTTGATACATACTTGAAAATTTCCACAGTAAGCATTTCATCATAAAAATAAACAAATGCCCTGGCAAGGTAAATGGAAGGAACAGAGCTACTCACCGAGCAACGCCCTTTGAGAGGTGGGAGCTGGGTGCTAGGTGCTGCATCCAGGTGGGGCCTGCCACCCCCAGAGGTGGAGCAGCCTTGAGCAGACCCAACTGAGGTCAGGAAGCGATTTTGGTTTTCCTGCTTCCTCTTCGGAGCCCTGATGCTTGAGGCTGGGTGAGGGGCATCATCTACCCCTTCTCAGGGCAAGGCACCTCTGACAGACCCAGCCCGGCAGCCGCTGATACTGGGGACCGTGGGGGCTGCTTAGTGCAGCCAACCAGCCTGGGGAACTTATGAATATGCAAATAGGGGCTAGAGCTGGTTGGCTCCCCGACACTTTCCCCATCTCCACTTTATCCCAACTCAGAGACCCAGAAAGACCAGATCAAAGAGCTTCTTCCTGAAATGCCATTTCTTCTGTCCCTGACTGAGGACACAGAGACCCTTGAAAATGTGAGGATTGAGTTACCCAGCTTCTCCTATTCCACGGGCCTTCCTCAGGGAGCTCTCCGCACTTCCTAATTCCCCAGGGAGGCAGCTCCAGAATGAACTTGTGCCCTGTCCCTCAAGCAACCCAAGGGTACTAGAACCAGTTCAGCACCACAATACACTGCCCTTCCACTCTGCAAGAATGAGAGACTTTGTCACTTCTCCCTCCATGAACACTGTTGGGGGCCTGTTTCCATGATCAAAGATCAAAGGCCCAGACCTCTGGCAGTGCTGGGGCGACCTCACTGGCCAAACCCACCTATACCCCACACCTCTAGAGTTTTGCCATTTTTTTCCTCCTTTATTTTGGGGAGTGAATATTGTGAAATATAGCATTAAAAAATCAATGAACTGCAGCTCAATTCATAAAGAAAGCCTCCAAACATAATGTTGAGTGAAAGAAATATGCCACAGAATGATACAGATGCTGTGATCCCATTTGCATTGCATTTTTTTTAAAGATTTATTTATTTGTGCATACAGAACTGGGGTACAGGCCAGAGGGGCGGTGAGAGACTTCACCAGAGACAGAGTGGGGAGCAAAACAGGCAGATCGACGAAGTACACTGCTGAGGGGAGCAGCGGGCAGTCAGGAGAGGTCTGCTGCGCCCTGTGGTCACCTCCTAGGCAGATGGGAATCGAACTCATGCGGAAGTGGCTTTAGCTTCTTAGTGCTGTGCTTTAACCCGCTGCACCACCAGGGAGGGCCTGCATTGCATTTTAAAATAGGCCAAACAGTATTAGATATTTTTGTGAATCATCTGTCCATTATTTTTAGTAGACAGACAGGTGGAACCTAGGTATAAAGAATAATGCAAAGTGAACACAAGCAATTTTAAGAGGTCCAGAGCTGAAGGCTAGTCTGTAGCCCATCTGCCAGTTGGTCAATACATTCACAGAGAAACAAATCAGGCTGCGAGTGGCTGAGTCAGACCACACATATAAATATTGGGAGATTTAAGGCAAGAGACAAGACTATTGTATGGATTACTGAAGTGGGCTGCCTACTCTGAGGTGTTTTCATTAGCTGAGTGGCTTATCCTTTCTAGAAACATTTTAAATAATTTGAAAGTAGGCCCTCCTTGGTGGCACAACGGGCTGGGATGCAGCACTGAAAGCTAGCTGCAGCCACTTCAGTGTGAGTGGGATCCCAGCCCCGGAGGTGACCCAAAGGGTGCTGCAGACCTCTCCTGACCGCCCACTGCTCCCCTCAGCAGTGTACTTCGTCAGTCAGCCTGTTCTGCTCCCCACTCTGTCTCTGGTGAAGCCTCTCACCGCCCCTGCATCTCTGGCCTGTTGTCCAGTTCTGTATGTATAAATAAATAAATGTTAAAAAGAACTAAAAATAGGCAAAAAAAAACCATGATATACATTTGTAGGACATGTGTGTATTGAAGCTACAATGATAGTAGGGGCTGGTTAATACCTAATTCAGTGTAGTGGTGGTTCACTCCAGGAGGATCAGCAAGAAGGCCACACCTAGCCACACCAGGCTGCCCTACTCCTTAAGCTGGCTGGCAAGTGTGAGCAATACTTTTATTCATTTTCTTTAACCTGTACAGATATATTTATACACCCTTCTGACAAGAAAAAAATTTTTTAAAGTTCCCTTTGAGCTCTACCATACACACAAATTTATGCACTTCTGTTCATAAATTCCTGTTCCAGTAAGTGGTGCTGTGTCCTGGAAGCCTTTAAATACAGAAAAGGATTGAGCTTATTGGGTTTGTACCTTGGACTCCATGGTGAATCTCAAGGAAATCAGTTTTAACCTTTCAACTTTCATCCTCTAAGAGGAGCTTTACAAGCACCCATGCATGAGAGAGAGAGAGAGAGTTGTCTCAGACTATAACAGCTAAGATTAGCTTTGGTGACCACTGAGACTCCAGGAGAAATGTTTTGCCATGTACACCATCCAGGGTTGAACTTCTGTGTCTTAGATAAGATTCTTAAAAGTTAATTATTTAGGGCCCTTCCTGGTGGCACAGCAGGTTAAAGCCCAGCACTAAGAAGCTTAAGCCACTTCCTCATGAGTTCTATCCCCGCCTGCCCCCGAGGAACTCCACATGGTGCGGCAGACCTCTCCTGACCCGCCCGCTGCTCCCCTCAGCAGTGTACTTCGTCGATCTGCCTGTTCTGTGACTCACTCTGTCTCTGGTGAAGCCTCTCACCCTCTGCATCTCTGGCCTGTACCCCAGTTCTATATGAATAAATAAATAAATCTTTTTAAAAAAAGTTAATTATTTAAAACTGAAAAAGTGAAGTAGATATTTGAACTATTTGCTATTTAAATAATAGTAAATTCCTGCACGGATTGCCACAAACTCTGTTAGTGGCATCCAACAGTGCTGTAAGCATGGCAGTATTGAGTCATTTCACTCTTGTATTTACTGAGAACCAACAGAGTATTGGGCACAGCGCTCTGTGCAGGGGACTGCGGAAAACAGAGTCATCTTTTTCCTCTTGCTGCTCTGCCCAGTAGAGACAGACACGTAAATAGGATATGACACATGTGCTATAGAGACAAAGTTTTGCAAGCACAGAAAAGATATCTGTTAACTCTTCCAGAGGGAATTAGGAAGGGATTCAAAAAAGATTTGAAGGAAGATTAGGAATCTCTAGGCAAAACTCACTGCCCCTGCACTTCTGGCCTGTACCCCAGTTCTGAATGAATAAGTAAATAAATCTTTAAAAAAAAATAGCCACATAAAACCGTGAAGGAGTGAAATAGCAAGTAGGGGTTATGGCCAGTAGTGTGGAGTAACAGATGATCAGGACAGGTGAGAAGGGGGGGAGGAGCACAACTAGGTTCTCTTCTCACGTGCCTGGTCAGGTTAATGGGTTGTACTTTATCCTATCCACAGGAAGAAGCAATTGAAAGACTTTAAGCAGGGGTGTGATAGGATTAGATTTGCTTTGCAAGGCATCTTTGACACAGGTGTGGGGGTCGCTTTGAGAAAGTGAAAGTGGAGGCCCAAGTCTGTTTAGAAAGCTTTAAAAATAATCCAGGTGAAGGATGGGGAGGACCTGATGATAACAGTAGTGGGCAAGGATTTGTTTTCTATTTCTAGTTAGGGCTTCTGACCACCCCTCTAGAATTCCAGTGGAAGCGCTTTCAGAGTATGGGTGAGTGAAGGCACCTTAAACCCTGAGGACTATGTGAGATGAACTCAGGTAAAGAAATCAGCAGCTAAAGAAGCAACACCAAGTGCTCTTCATTCATTCTTAATTCAGTCAGAAGCTTATAGAAACCCTTTCTAGGAAGAGGAGCTATATAGGTGAACACTCAGGGACCTGGGGATTTAAGGGAAAAAAAGACTAAACAGGAGAGAGGGTGCTTTGTGCTTTCATTTTGAAGGTGGGCAGAAAGTGATGCCCAGAGCTGAGAGGCCAACTTCAGCTCACAAATATTTATTGCACCCCTTGCCTATCCTATAGTCTGTTCTAAGTGTAGGTGATACAGCAATGAACAAGACAAAGTCTCTAACTTCAGGGAGGTTCCATTATAAGGGCAGAATGACAAATGAACACCACCTCTCGCCTATCCTAGAGTCTGTTCTAAGTGTAGGTGATACAGTAATGAACAAGACAAGGTCTCTAACCTCAGGGAGGTTCTATTATAGCGACAGAATGACTAAAGTACACCTTGCACCCGACATATGGAGAACAATTAGCTTGGCCAGAGAGAGGAGGGACTACAATGGAAGATGAGATGTGGTTATAGATATCAGGCTACTTGGAGAGGATCTTCGAGTAGGTAGAAGGGCAATGGAAAACAACAACAAAGGGCAATGGAAACCCTTTAGCGGTTCCTTGGGGGCAGTCTGTTTCTTTACTTTTTCGGGGTTAAGGAGGCTGGGAGGCAACTACAGCCTATATTTGAGGCTCCCAGAGGCAATTTCAGCAGCCCAAGGCCCCACAAGTGGAAGATCAGACAGGCTTGTCAGACAAGATCAGAGTTCCAAGACTGTGCTCGCCTTCACCTTCTGCTCTTTCGCTGTGTGCCGAGGAATGGCGTGGGGCCCCAGGGTCCCAGGAGAGAAGGGTGCCAAGATCAGAGCTAGCTCTGCGGAGAGATCCGCAGAGCCGGACCCCGGCGGCGACTAGGTCTCCGACAGCCGTAAGCACCTTCGGGAGACCGGTCGAGGCAGGTAGAGGGCTCCAAGGGCTCCCCACCTCCCCGCAGCTGGAGGGCAGCTCCCGGCCGCGGGCCCGCCCCCTGCTGACTGCCCCCGCTGACTCCCCCCCGGCCAATGGTTCGCTCCGGACACCCCTCCCCGCGCGGCAGGTGCCGCGGCCCGCCCCACTTCCGGCTGCTGCGGGCCCTATATCCGGTGTCCGCCCGCCCTCGGCTCCGCTGCCGCTGCCGCCGCCGCCGAGATGCTCTCCCGGTCCCGCTGCGTGTCCCGAGCGTTCAGCCGCTCGCTCTCCGCTTTCCAGAAGGTACGGTCCGGTTGGGCCTGGGCCCAGCCGGGGAGAAACCCGCCGGGGGGCAGACAGGCTGCCTGGGGGCGGGGGCGCGGCGCGCCGGCCAGGCCG